TAATATTTTAAAAGCAGAATTGTACTTTATATAAAATCTCAATTAAATATTCAATAAAGATAGAGGCATGGCCTTACTATTAATATTAAAAAAAAAAAATAACAAATAAAAAAGCTTATATTTGAACATCTAACAGCTTTTAAAAATGTTTTCCAATGACCTTATTTAATTTATAATTTAATGGATATATTTTTAATAATAATGAATAAAGTTTGATAATAGTATTTTTTTTTTAATCCAAGTTAAAAAAAATTATACCAATTAATATTAGAAGATTTTATATGATGTTTTATATAATAATTATATAGTCTATTCATTCATTCTTGATTATTCCATTCAGTAGTTATACATGTTAAATGCTTTAAGTCTTCAATTCTTTATTGAGTTTCAGATAAATTTATATCAAATAAAGTGATTCCATCATATTCTTGTAATGCTTTAGAATCATTTCAAACTTTTTTCTAAATTTTTTGAAATGTATTATCAGCATATTCAACTTCTATTCTATTTTTACAAATAATTTGAATTTTACAAGTATTATTTTGAATAAATTGATGAAAATAACTTTACTTTTTTTATAAAAATGTAAAATACAAGTGATTCTCAATATAAGAAGGTTCTTGGGTCCAACCAAAATCTTTCTTATATCAAGAGTTTCTTATAACAAAAGACTTTTATTATAAGAAAAGTTATATGTTTTAATAAAAACTTTCTTATATCAAATATTTCTAAATATAACTATTTATAAATTAAAATACAATATATATAATTTATTTATATTTATTAATTATTATAGGTTTGATTATCAAGAATAATATCACTAATAAAAATTTAAAATTATTTTATTTATTTATTTATTTACAACTACATATTAATAATCAAAAAATTGAACTGGCCTAAAGATTTTATTATATAGCATAATTGTTATATTTATATAATAGAATAGTTTGACAAATAAAAATTCTGTTATAGAGTTCTTTAAATTATATTTTTTAATTGTTATGAGAATGATACTATAATTGGTTGCCAGTTGATTCACTTAAGTAAACTATCGAATCTTTTTACTATATAGAACATAAGTTTATTATAACTGCTTTAAAAATTTAGCAATTTACTAAACTGTTTAATCTGGTATAAAAGATATTCATTATATCAGTAGTTAACTGTATTTGTTTTAATATGTAATTTAATAGCAAAGTATTAATTTTTTTTATCTATATTAGACAAATATCAAATACTTACTTTTATGTACTACTTGAATGTATACTAGGTTTGTAGTGCAGATTGTCTAAACTACGAATTAGATTTTAAGATTAGGCACAATGTATTATGATCAAGAAAATTTAAATCAAATATCTATTTGTTAAAAATTGCATATTTCTTGAAAATCAGCATAAAAAATTATCTTTAATAATCTAACAAAAAAGGTTCTGTTAGACAATTTTACTATAAACTATTTTTTAACCCTAACTCTAATCCTAACATAAATGAAAGTTAAAGAATTTTTGCTATGTTACAAACCTAGCATATATTCAAGTAGTGCTACTTTTATATATAATAAGTCAACTATTTTTTAGCAAACAAAACTAATTATAGTTAAAACTTTTTAAATGCAACTTCTCTCATAATACATCTTTAACTTCAGGCCTAAGTATATGTCTGGTATATATACCATATAGCACTGCTTATAGTACCCAGGGTCTTATTCAAAACCTTAACTTTTAAAATTGATTAGTACTAGATACTATTCATAGATCCAGTGATTTTATTAGTGGAAAGGAAGGGTATTTTATATGGAAAGATATTATTTTTAGAGGATACTATAAGCAGTACTATTTGGTATTTGTTTCTGTAAATGCAATTTATTTTAATTGTTTTCTAAGTGAATGTTGCTAAAAGCCCAGTTCTAATAAGTTGCACTTAGAGAGGTTGACTATATATATTAATATTACAGAAATATTTCAAGTTTAAAAAACAAATTCTACTTATTCAATCTTTAAATAAGCAAACTTTAAATTTATTTATTTTAAATCGATAAACCAAATTATTATAATTGAAGCATTAAGTTCTCTGTTTTAAATTACTAATTTTGCATATATAAATCTATAGTTATTTGTCTTTTTTTAGCAATGCTATCCCTAACTACATCTTTTTTAAACCTATTTAGTTTTTGAACAAAAGATTCATCTACTTTAAATCTGTTTTCTTGATCAATAAAATGCAAAATATTATTAATGCTTATAATAACTTCCTTATAAGAAATATGAACTTCAGGTTCATTTTTATCATTTTCATTGCAATTACGATTAAGTATAGCAGTAATTATTTTATTATCACTAGGCATTATATCTGTTTTAATACTATGATCAGCCTCAATAAAATTTTCTGCTTGCATTGGGTTAGTTACAGGAAGCTAACTAATCAGAGACTGAATTTCTGTTACAAGATCAGTATGATTTATACTCTATAATTCTTGTGATCTTGGTAAGGTAAGATTAACTAATTCAAAATTCTCTATTAGTTTCTGAGTGGTTGGTAAAGGATCATTCAAAAAAAAATAATTATCTGGAAGAATTCCAGTTTTAATCTAACAATTACAAATTATATTATTGGTAACTTTTTTCTATGCTTCAGCAGAAAGATCAATAGCATCTTTAATATTAAAAATTGAAGTATCTTCACCTATTTCAATTGCTTCTTCATAAGCTGCAATTCGGTTTTTACAAAATAGTTTATAGTAGTGCGCCTTAAAACTTCAAATAATACAAGTGTCACAAGGTTGCAAATATGTTGTTGTATTAGTAGAAAGATAGTATATTTTAATATTAGAAGGAACAAATCCTTCTTCAAGAGTATGTAGTAAAGCTTGATCCATTAATAAAAGAATTTTTCTTTCGGCTTATTTCATTTGTTTATTAAGCATTCGAATATAATAGTTAAAAATTGAAAGCTGCATCTAGGAAAAAGAATTTCAATAGTAATAAACAGGCAATTTTGCCTTATCAATGCATCAAATAGCACAGGGGTTTTGGTATTTATAGATAAAAAGTAAAGGTAATTTATTATCACCAGTACTATTACATGTAATTAGAATTGTAGCACGATCTTTTGCCTTTTTTTTTCCATGAACAGGCCCACTTGCAAGAGTTTTTTCAGATTCTAAGTGCCAATACAAGCCAGTTTTATTATAATTATACATATCTCGTGGATTATAGTTTTTAATAATATCTTTGAGTTTATTACGGTATTGTGGAAGTTTATTTAATGGAGTACTTGCTGCTTCTTCTTGCCTTGTATACTCTTTAATATGAAATCTTTTTTTAAAATTTGCAAGCCACCCTTCAGATTCTCCAAAATTACTAATTTGTAACCTTTTAGCAAACTGAAAAGCTTTACATTGAATAATTGCTTTCATAATTGTTTGGTAATAAGCTTTAGCTTTTGAAATCTATAAACTTAAGACTTTTTCAAGCTGGGGACAGTGTTGTCATATCTACTATGTTCAAGATTTTTTTTGACCATGTCCAACATCCAAATGTCCAAATGTCCAAATGTCCAAGAATGTTCACAGCATATACAAGCTTTAAAAATTAATATATTAATTTATAAAATATATGATTATATATTTTTTATAGTGCTGAATATTTTTATTTAGAAAGTTAAAATAGGTTAACTTAATAAAATTTTGAGCAAATTTAATTTATTTATTTGTTCAAAAATGTCTAAAAGTGTCCAAACTCATGTTCACAACTGTCCTGTGACAACACTGGCTGGGGGTATTTAGCTGAGCGATCTCGTTTAGACTTTGCTTGTGTTGAATTTGGATCAATTAAAAGCCAGTAATCTTCTTGTTTAAGTATTTTTAAAACTGTTAATTCACCAATTTTAAAATAGTTTGCAAGTAAAAGTTGAGTATATCCACTTTTATACAGGTAACAAAGTTTAGCTTTTTGGACTTTTGTCAATATAATTCACTTAGCCTTTTTAGTTTTAATAGTTTGTCTCTTAACCTTATTGGTGTTTGTCTTATTTAACATTCTTTTTTCAACTCTATTAACTAAAGACCCAACTAACAGCTGGCTATTTGAAGAGTTACTAGTTTCCACCATTTTAACCAAAGACTAATATGTAATTATAAAAACTTAGTAGCAAAAATAACATTGTATAGAACTAGCTTTTATTAAAGTACTGATTTTAAAAAGAAAAAAAATGTAGAATAAGATTTGCTTTTATATGACTAACTTAAGTAATAAGTTGTTATTGCATTTTTATGCATTGTAAGTTATGATGTAATTATTTGCAATCAATTTAATTAGTTAATTGTTTATTTACTGTAATATGTAGGTTATCAATATGACTATTAAAGGTATTATCCAAATGACACTTTTTGTAGTTTCTACTATTTGTTTAGGTATAGTATTCTTTAGTTTTGCTCCTTTCTTCTGTCTTTTTTCTTGAATATTCTTTCTAACAAAATTTTTATTTCTTTTCTTTTTTATGTTAGGATCGAGTATTATTTTCATTATGCTTTTGCTTTTTAAGTCTCTTAGTGGCTTTTTCCTGGGTTCTGACCACTTGTCTTCTTTCTTCTAATCTTTTGCAATATTATTAGCTTAGATAAGTATCTTCTTTATAATTAACCTTTTTGTATTTAATTCTTTCAAGCTTGACACTAATAAGACTTCTTTTGTTTTTTTTGGTTTGTATCTCTTTTTTTCTGTTATTTTATATAGTTGGTAAATGGATCTTATAGTCACCACAAAATGACAAGAGTAATAATAGCATTAAACATAAAAGGGCAGCTCTATTTAAGGTGTGAATAATTTGGCTAATATGTTTACTAAATTCTATACATCATAGTTTTACTTAACTGGGTCTACTACTAACTACAACCCTACAACTTAACAATTAACAACTACTATTATAAGAGTAAATGATCTTTCTAAAAAATTGAAGCTATAAAAGATAAGTTTATTTAATAATTTTGTCAATGCTTTTATATATATTTATAACTGCCATCTAACTTGTCTATTTTTATGTTCTTTTTATTACTTTTTTCACTATTTATCCCTTTATTGATTGTTTTGAAACTATTATAGGATAAGTATCTTATCTTGTTTACCTATTTTAACTCTATTCATATTACTAACATAATGTATTTCACTTTTTTTTTGTTTTTCCTACTATATTCTGTTATTTGATTGTTTTTCATGTTACCATTCTAAAACCTTATCATAGTGCTTCTATTATTCCTGTTTTGATATATACATCCTGTTAATTTTGTTCGATTATAGGGCATATGCATGCATTTGAACTGGTTCTATAATACGATCATTGATTATAGTATTTTTTCACCCATATGCACATATGCAGGTTTTTTTTAAATCAATTTTGTGTTATATATATATATTTGTATTATATGATCTCAAATTTTGATTGGATATACATCATGTGGTTTCTTATATCGTGACTAATTTAATAATAAAGGGGCAGCCTGAACTTTCTTATAGTCTTATATTAAGAGATTCTTAATAAACTTTCTTATATTGAGTGAAATTTATTAAGCTTAAATTGGAGTTAGTCAAAAACTTTCTTATAAGCCAACTTTTTTACATCGAAGGTTTCTTATATCGAGAGTCACTTGTATATATAAAAGTAAAGATACTGTTGTCAGATAAAGCAATATAATTATAAGAAGATAAAATAGAATGTTAAATAAATATTAGATTAAGACAATTGATAAGAAGTTTGGTATATAGTTTTTTAATATATATGACTAGGCTAATGTGTCTTGTATTGATAGGTTTCTATCAAAAATAGGTTTTTAGATATTAAAAAGATGTGGCCTTTTTTTTATTAGTTATATATATAATTAGTTTGAATGCATTAATTGAAAATAGCAGTTATTGTATAAAAAAAGGCAGAGCCAATCTGTTTAAGCATTTTATAACTAATTTCAAATAGGTTATATGCTTTGTTGTTAGAAAATTAGCTAAAAGTTGTAAAAATTATATTTAATGAAAATTTAGCTAGAGCTGAACTGTAATAAGTTGGACTAGTTGTAATCTTGAGTTAGTATTCTTATAACTAGTTAGAATTAAATTTATGAATATTAATAGGTTCATAAGCAGTCCAGTTATTAAAGTATTGTTTAATATATTCTTTAATAAGTTTAAGATTTGTTATAATATTATTTAATGTTTTAATATTGTTAATTTTTACATAATTCTTATAACAGTTATGTATACTATTGATCTTTGCTTTAGAATTAGTTTAAAGTTTAAAACATTAATTGGTAATATGTTGGTTTATCTATTTTTGAATTTGCTTAATGTTTTTTATATTATAATTATATTAAAAAGCTTGTTATTTAGTGTTAGTATTAGTAATTTAGCTTGGTATAAGTTCATAAAAATTGGTTATAGAATGAATATTAAGTTGATATATTAAATTAAGATAAGAGATAGTAAAATTAAGATATATGACTATTAGTATTGTATTTGTTAGAGAAGCTTTTACTTGTCTAATAATACTATTTAGTTGTTTAAGATTTTGATAAAATAAAGTAGATTTAGCAAAAAAATAAATATTAAAAATTACAGAGGATGATATTCCTAGTGTAATAGTTGAGTTGTTATTCTTCAAGTAACAGTTCTAAGATTCAAATTCCATCTACAATAAAATTTGAAAATTAACCTGTATTACAGCAATCTGTCTTTTAATGATCAGTTGAATTTGTGTATTTGTAACCTTAAGTCACACCATTTTGAATAAGAGATTGGGGCATCTATGACAAGAGTAATATTACATATACATAGAGAAATGTTAATAATCAGTATCATATAAGACTTTAGTGCAAACTCATAATAAGACCACCAGATGCAATAAACTAAGGAACTAAAGAGTCAGAAGCCTACTTGGAAATTCCTGAGTAAAGAGGTTGCATGAACTTTTGACAGTATAGTCAGACTGATGGAAGCCTATAAAACACCTCCAAAGAAATAGACAGATAAACCAGATATCACAATATGTAAAGAAGCATATGACCAATCAGGCTGCTAAAATTGCTGAAAAAAAAAATACATAAGTATACCATACCAGGCTATCTGAATTAAAAGTCAGGAGAGTCCTGTTGGTCCTAAGTAGTGATTAGTAAAAGATGATAGAGAAGATGTCGTGATAATAGGTACTGGGGTTTTAGTAAACTTTACAAGGATAGAAATAGTGTAACATAGTAGTTAAACAGGCAACTCCTGTAACTGCAAGTGTTAAGTAACTATAGCATGTTGCATAAAACTAGATCAGCTGTATGTAGGACATAGAAGGTTTTAGTAAGTTTCTTATTAAAGATAAACTAGTTCTAAAGGTTTCAAAAGCATTGAATACTTTGGATAGGTGTAGCCCAGAAGATGTTTCCATGATCATAAGTCAGATTACATATGCAAAGAGTTTAAATAGGCAAGATCTGTAGTTGGCTTGCAGATATGGAACCTAGTGTAAAACCTGTATAGTAATGTATAGGCAGACTACTTAAATTAGGCACCAAAAGTGCACATGTGACTAGTTGTAACCTTCTATGTATGGAAGTTTCTAGAGGCATCCATGTCTAAATACTTAAATAAAAAAATCGATTCCCAAAGGCAGGGACTTTAATGTTAAAAAAAAAAAATATTAAAAATTACAAATTGTAGTTTTTTTGTTAGAAATATATTTAATGACTATATTAATAATACTAGTTTAAATTTTATGCCAAATGGTTTTGAAAGATTTGGAAGTTTAAATAAAGAAAAAAGTTTTGTTTATAATAAGATTAAGAGAAACTTAGTTAGCAAAGATTTTCTATTTCTTTTTGTTTATTGCTTTATAATTAAAGATTCTTTATTGAGTTTGAGTTAAATGTTTATTTTTGTCTATAAAGGTATAAGAAAAAATTTAAAAGAATATAAAAATTTTTGGTATAGTTTATGTATTATTTAAGTAAAATGAATAGAGGTATTTAAGTAAAGAAAGATGAGCTTAGATATAATTAATAGTACTATAATGTCTACTACTATATCAGATATAGAAGAAGCTATTTGTATAATTAGCTAGGTTATAAATGTTATTGTATTGTAGAAATTGTAATAGTTTGTATTTGATAAATGAGAAGATAGAATTGTTAGATAGTACATTAAAGTTACCTAGTATTATAAGTTGAATGTTTTGGTTAGTTGCTTGTTAAATTTATTAAATAATATTATTTTGTATTTGAAGTCTTAGTTGTAAGTTTTTATATAGTAAATATGTAGAATTTGTAGTTATATTTAAAGAAATAATTAATAGTAATAGCATAACCAGAAAAAGTAAAAATATTGTATATATAAGATATAAGTTATTTGTAAATCATAGGTGCAGTTTTTGCTTTAAAACTATTAGTACAAGATTAGAATTAAAAGTAGTATTTTAAGTTGTAAAATTTGATAATAGCATTGTCTTCTGTTATTTTAGTTTTTGTAATACTAATAATGTTTAGATACAATAATTTTTTCAAACTTGCTATTTAGAGTTTTTATTATATCTTTAAACATTATCTCTTTATCTGTATTCAGAGCAAATTTGCTCTGAATTTTGAATTGCTGATAAATTTTTCATATTATCAGAAAATTTTTATAAATATATACCTCTAGTTTTTTGTATTACTAAGTATAAAAACATAATATCGATACTTCTACAAAGCATTTTGGCTGCACAAACTCAAAAAAAGATTTGATAACCTTCTAAAGTTTGATGTCAGACATCAAAAAAATGTAGATTTTAAATAAACCAGATTTTATTTACATCAAATGGCTTTTTTTTTCTTATTGTTTTTTTTTTTTTTTACAGAAATATCAAACATTGCTACAGATAGTAGTATTGTTTTAGATTTATTGTATTTCTTTACATTTGAGCATAACTATTATAAAGAAGAAATAATAGATTATAAACTTGTTGCAACTATTGAAATAGCAGAAGAAAAGTTATTTACAGAACAAGAACATGAAGAACATTCTAATACAGATTTTAAAGATAAACAAACTGACAAAACTAGTAAAAAATCCTATAAAAGAGATGAAAAAAATCAAAGAGACCAGGAAGGTTAGGAAGGTTGGAGAGGCTGAAGAGCAGACATAGAAAAAAGAACCAAAAAAATAGAAAAAATAGGAAGGGTGAGTAGAGAAAAAAAAAAGCAATTAGTATAAAAAATAAATATATAAATGAAAATAAAAATTAGACATTTAATATTCCTAACTTACCAATTTTTGAGGCTATGCAGAATTCTCAAAAATATCATGAAAGTTATACAACATTACCTTATGATATACAACAAGATATTGTTAGTTCATTTACTCTATTTTAGCTGTATTTTACTGATCAACAATTGCAAATTATTGTTGAAAATACAAATAAATATAAGCAATTGAAAGGTCTTAAAGGTGGTTGAGCCTGGAGTCTATTAACTTTGAAGGCATTATAAATTTAGATCACATTAGTTATTTACATAGAGGTTCATAAAGTCTATGCAGTAAAAGATTTATATAATTCAGAAAAAAAAAGCCAATTCATAATATTAAGGAGTTTATGTCTTTGTACAGATTTTAGCAAATAAAAAGATTTCTTCATATTTTAGATCTGACTAAGTCTTAATCTTTCTGGTATTTGAAAGTAGACTTCTTATCATCACATTTTAAAGAAACTTTTAAAAAGTTGTATGTTCCTTATATACAAGTTTTTATAAATAAAATAATTATGTGGTTTGTTAGTCAAAGCATGCATATATTTAAAATAAAAAATAAACTGACACTACAGGATTACAAAATTTTTTCACTCTGTAATGTAGGTTATATATGTTTCTTTTTTTTTAGCTCATAAGTTAATAAAAATTTATAATTAAAATATGTTGAAAACATTAATGAAATGGGATGCATAGTTTGGAATTTAGCAAATCAACTTTCAAAAAAATTTTTTTATATATTTATATGAATAACTATTTTGCAAGTATTTTACTTTTAAGCATTTGTGTAATAATAATCTAGGTGCATGTAGCACAGTTTGTGTTAATTCAAATAAATTTTCTAAAGAACTAAAAATTGAAAAGTCATCTTCTTTAAACTAAGATACTCTTTATGATATAGTTACTAATAATGTGTTAGTTGTATTGTAAGTTGATAATAGTCCAGTGACTATGCTTACAACAATTCATAATATTATTGGTAATGAATCAAAAATTATTTGTAATCAATATTGCCCATATAAGATGAGCACTAATGCAAAAAAAGTACAAGTATTTGGAAATTTGTTAAGAAAAGAATTAGCAATTTTATAATTAATTAATGATTATAATAAGTATATAGGTAGAGTAGATATTGCAGATTAGTTTTGAAATTATTACAATTGTCAATTAATATCTTTTTATACTTGGATCTCTTTATTTTTTTGGTTATTAGATTCTGCTCTTATTAATTGTTATATTCTTTATATTAAAACTACAAATACACATATTACATATAAAGATTTTAAGATTACTTTTATTTAGAACTTGATTAATAATATTTTTAATAATGGAATTAAAAAAATATAAAAATGTTTTAGTTATGAAAGCTTTTTTAAATCATCTCTAAAATAAAAACAAACTGCTCATATTACAAAAAAAATTAAATTATCTTCAACTCAGTTGCTATCTAAAGATTATTTAGTAGAATAGAGGCAGAAAAGAGAATCATATATATATTGTTGCTACTTGGCAAAAAATGATAAAAGTAATAAAAAAGCCAAGTTTGCTGCAATTTCTCAAAGTCAATGTTGGTGTATTAAATATAATGTATCTTTTTTGTTATTCTAAAGCAAGACCAAATTGTTTAGAGTTTTTTTTTTTTTTTTTTTTGTTTTTTTAAACTTAAGCAATCATGCTAGTACTTTATTAAGATTCTTGAAATTACTTTTGCGATTACATAAATTTACCTAACAACTAAGTCTAGCATTACCTGGCCACCTAAGAGGTACCTAATTGCAACCTGCTGCACTACTTTAAGCAAAAGTAGGCCACTTGTCTGACTATTTAAAGTTCATAATAGAATGGTCTTCTCTTTTCTATGACAAGTTCCAACATTGTTTTCCTAGTTTCTTTGTCGATCCTGTCCTTTTTTTCTTTTGCTAGTTTTCTTTCTTCTTCGATCTTTTGCTGACTTGCCTTTCCTTTCTTTTTTGAATCCTTTCTTTTAACTTCCTTTTTCTTTATTTTGGTCGTTATGCCTTCTTTCTTCTCTCATTCATTAATCTTTTCACATCGTATCCTTCAAACCTGTTTATAAAATGTGTTCTATTCTGTCTTTGCTACTCTCTCTATAAACTGCTATCTTGCTTTGGTATTTAGGAGCTATGTTAATTTTTTTTGTGTCTTTTCTGAAATTAGGCCTTTGATTAAAGCTTTTTTTATCTCTATTTTTTTTGCTTCACTTTTTCCAAAAAGTGCTATATATAGTACATATGGCAGAATGCAAGTTTTTTCTTCTTTTTTCAATCCTTTCCAGGCTGTTGTGATGGTCACTTTTTGGATTTGTTTCTAGAGATTTGCTGGTTCTTTGTATAATGCCAAGTGTGACTGTGTTTCTTTAACTTTATCTTGACATACTTGACATTCTGTCTTTGTATATATATCTGATTGTCTTCTGTTAAGTTCTTTTAAGGTTGGGAGTTTATTTATTATACACTTGATAAATGCACATTTTCTTGTACTACTTTTTCTTATTGTACTGTGTATCCCTTTAGTTGCTTTAAGTTTTTTCCAAAGTTGTGTTCAATCATAAATTATGATTTCTGTTTTTAGCTCTAACTTTTTAATTGTATTTGTTTCTTTCCAAATCTTGTATTCATTATTAGTTTGTATAACAGTCTTGCTAAAATGTCAGTTCATCTGTTTTATTACTCTAGGCAGTATTCTATCTTTTTACAACTGACTTTTTCTATTTGTATTATTTTTTTACTTGTTGTTCCCTTTTTTTCAAGACTATTAGCTTTGTTGTTTTATTTGTTCTTGCTATGACTTTTGACTTTCATTAACTCTATTTGTATCTTTTTCATGTTAATAAGATCTATAATCTTCATTATACATATCACATTTTTCTTTTTAAGAATGTTTATTTTATCTATTTGCTCTAAACCTCTACTAATATTCCTTATTGCAGCATTACTGTTTATATATATTACTACTTGTCTTTCTTTTGGTATCGTTAGAATTGCTGTCTATATTGCTACTAATTCTGCAATTGTTGATGTTATCCATCCTTCTAGCCCTAATAATATTTCTTTTTCTGGTTACTCTTGCATCTCATTTGTCTAAATCTATTCTATACTCATGTTCTAAGCTAGTAATTCCTCTTTGGTCTTTGCACTTGTTGCACCATCTGTGTATATAACAAATTTGCTCTTGTCTCTTGTTAAGTTTCTTCTTAGTATCTTTATGATTTCTTGGTTAACATTTTCATCAAGATTTTGTTACTTGATTATCTCTAATTCTAGCTAATTATCATTATAAAATCTATAAATTTTTGCTTATTATCTCTTAACTTTTCTATTTTCACTTTTCCTGTTAATAGTCTAATGCCAACTTGATCTTGTTGTTACTCTTTTCTATTAATGTATCGAGAATTACTTTAATCTTGTTGTTTAATCTTATTCATTGCTGGCAGCTGCCTTTTATCTGTTCTTTTTTTTCTGTACAATTGTTACATTTGCTAATTTCTGTTACTAATTTGTTTTCTTTGTCTTGCATTTGTCAGTGTTCTACTAAAATTTTCTTCTTTTTTTTCTTTACTATCTTCCCTAGCTGCTTGCAGTCTTGTGTATCATAAATTATTCATTCCTTTTTTCTTCTATTTTCTGATATATACTTTCATTCTATCTTTATTGCTTGAGTATTGTATCTGTTCATCTTAAAACATTCTTTGACTTCTCTATTTAGTGTTTTTTTGAGTACTTTTAGCTTTATTTTTTTAAACCATTCAGCTTTCTTGCCTTTGCTTGACTGCTCAAAATAGTTTTTAAACTGTTGTCATGTAATTAGACTTTTACCTTTTGTGTCAAGCAGTTAATTTAAGTATATTAGATCTGTTTTGCTTATTTTAGTTCTATTTTTTTTTTACAAACATGTTTCTAAGAGCTCTGCTATTCTGAAATCATGTTTAAAGTTTCTTCATAAGTTACTTTTAGTTCTTATATTTATTTCTCATTTTCTTGCTTTTATTATCATTAAACATGTTAGGTTATTCTTTCAATATCGAATATTAGCTGGCATCTCTTTCAGTTTCCAAATGTCTTCTGTCAGGCCTGCTCTTTGACAGCTTTGTATTATTCTTAGCTTCATTAGCTGTCCTAAGTTATCTTGTTTGTTTAATATTCCTAGCAAATTACTTACTTGCTTTATTACTAGCTCTTGTTGTAATGTTCTACATTCACCAAAATCTTTATATTCTATTATACAATTTTTGAATGTTCTTTGTAAATTGCTCTTTTGCTTTGCCAGACAAATCATTAGTTGATGTATTTTATATATTCCTTTTTTTGAAATCTTCATTAGCTGAAGCATGTAGCTTAGTTTTAGGATTATTACTATATTGTTTATATATATAATCTGGCTCATT